TACCAGTATCTGACATACTAGGCTAATATATCGATATGATTTCACCAATGTTAAGTCTCATTTCATAAAGATGCCTTACTGTATTAAACCTAATAATTGCTAAATAAAATATACTGGTACATATCTCCTGATGTATTTTCTATGGCAAAAAGTAATAAGCCATATAACTATTCGTATTGTAACGCCAAAAATATAAAATAGTAGCCTACCGTTGCAATAGCCTTGTCGCGCATTCTGTCCTTCCGGACTAACATAACCAATGTTGCAAAAACACGTGTACGATCCTATTGTGTTATTACAGCGAGCATTGACGTCACAGTTATCTGTGGTACGCACACATTCGTCAATATCTGGTATTATTAATTAAAGATTATTAATTAAAGTTATCAATTAATGTACATTTGCATAAGTCTTCATGTGTATAGTACCTCGCCAATAACAAATTACGGTATAGCACTCATTTCATTAAACATTTGCTATATAATAAATACAGTAATACATTGTGTGCATATGATATGCACATGCATAGAAACAATACGCATAATAAAATAGATAATAAATAATCATAATTGTAAGAATAATAGTATTATAGATTATGATATTATTGAATATAATTATATGAACATCAATAAAAGCAGCACCTCCTCTTACAGCTGCAGGTGGTTCGGACAATTAGTAACTTTTTGACAACATTCGTATAGGCCTATATTTATACATTTCGAGTTCTGTAAAACACATGACATTCAACTTATCCCTCACCATTACAAATGAACCCATTTCCCTCGAACCCTTCATTACATGCACACGTGTATGAGCCTTCAGTGTCTGTACACGTTGCATCGGTATTACAAATATCCGACTGGTCAATGCATTCATCTGTGTTTTCACATGTGTCGAACCCGTCACCACGGTAACCTTCTATGCACGTGCACATGTATGACCCAACTGTATCAGTACAGTTGGCAAATGCGTGACACAGGTTATTAAAACTACTGCATTCGTCATTATCTGTGGGGATTAATGTTTTAAAAGTAATGAAATATAAAATTATGTTCTAATATTAACTATTATAAGAATAAGAGTCTTTAAGATTAACCAAATAAATAACAAATCCTGAACAATATTTAAAAAAAAAAAAGAATAGTAACATAAATGTTATTTCAATAATAATGATAATAATAATATTGATAATAGCATTATCATCAATTCCTACGAACATACTTGTACAAGCGTCAATTCCATCTCCGCTGTATCCATCCACACAAATGCATTGGTATGACCCAATAGTGTTATTACAAGATGCAAGGCTGTGGCACACATCCATCATCAGACATTCGTTTTCATCTATGTTCAAATAGAAGCAGACAAATTAGAATCTGCGTAGAAAGTTTTATTTTTACACACACACACACACCCCACACACACACACACACACACTTGCTGACACTGTACTAAATTTGTAGTAACGTACGGTAACGGTAATTGTCAGCTAATCCAATAGGTACCTTTCAATTTGCGCGACGAAGTGAACCCCTAAAACTGATTGATTCATCCACCACCGTCCAGCGTTTTCTACACAACGTAGATTTGCCCAAACGGCGTCGACGTAGAATTCAGAGAATTCGAACTCAACGCTGTCCGATGTGCAAACGAATTTGTGGCGTTACGTTCTCGACAGGTCCGTGTGGTTTTACCGTGTTATCCACAACCAAAAGAGGCCTTTTTTATTTTATTATTATTAAGTTAACGTTTTTGTCTAAAGGATTCTACTTCTTAATTGACAATTTTCTTACATACCTATACAAGTTATTCCATTTCCGGCGTATCCAGATCTACAAACACACACATAACTGCCTTCTTGGTCCTGACACTCAGAATTACCAGTACAGTCATGTAGATCACTCTCACATTCATCAATATCTAAAAAACACAATAATCTATGCATTTAGATAATATACACATACGAAATACATACATACACACAATAGGTCTACAAATATATACTACTATGCATATATACATATACATACACACACACCCAGAATTACGCACACACACACACCCACATCTACATATTATTATATACAAATTCAAACTACAACTGAATTCAAAAACAATATGTTTATTCAGAATATGATTATATAATCATTTGAAAATTATTTTTAATTAAAATGTATATATAAATATATGTATGTATATATATATATATATATATATATATATATATATATAGGCCTATATTAAGAAATTGCAATTAAAAAATTATAATATGTATGATAAATTAGAAAATAATATAATACTGTATTTCTGGATTTAAACAAAAATTCAGTTAAACAATAACATTTCCATTAGGATTACGTTTTTTTTTAATGGAATATTATTTGGAATACTTTGATGTATGTAGTGGTCTGTACATAAATAACTAGGAATACACTCCATGACGTAGATTACATTGCACAATATGAATGTCTGATTCTGTATCCAATGATTATGAAAAAAAATAAAAACCTAAAGAGTTTTATTTCCAAAATGGATATGTGCGCTATATAAACTCGAAAAAAAAACTTCAAAATTAAGCTAGTGTATCCTAGCTTGTACTATTCCACTATTTGCATTCACACCTGGGCTGTGCATATATAATGCCTTGGTTTGGCTCTGTAATTATTAGTGGTCGTGGGACTAGTTTGGGCCCTACCTAGGCTGGTCGAACGTTTCGTTTGGGTCTATACCCTAGCTGCACTGATGAGGCCTGGAAGGCCGAAACGGATCCGTTTGCAGATATTGGGATTCCTTCCAGTGGATGCTTAGTTT